TTGTTTTTATTGCTGCCGCCGTGGGGATGAGCAATAATAACGTGAATTATTCAATGCCAGGTGTGGTAATATTTGCATGAGCTGCAATTAGCGACAAGTGATAATGAGGAAAAATTCTCTTTTCTGCTAATTACATGTTGGCTGTAATTGTTTACATCTGTTTCTTTTACATTTACACAGAAGCAAATATATATATTTATATTTACACAGAAGTAAATATATATTTATATATTTTCACAGAAGTAAATATTATATTTATATAATATATATAAATATAATATTTACTTCTAAATATATATTACTATATTAATATAGCTTTATATTAATTAACTGTATTAATATAGTATAATATTAATATATTACTAAATATTTATATTTAAATTATATATATATAAATATATAAATACGTATTTATATATTTTTATGTATTTACTTATTTATATAAATATATATTTATATTTACACAGAAGTAAATACAGGTGTGTCAATATTTGCATGAGCTGCAATTAGCGACAAGTGATAATGAAGAAAAATTCTCTTTTTTGCTAATTACATGTTGGCTGTAATTGTTTACATCTGTTTGTGGCATCCTCATCATGCAAAAATTGATTTTAATGGGGATTTGATGTGATAAAGAAAAAAGATTGGAGTGGAATCAAATACAGGAATCTTGTAAAGGAGACAGCTCCAGGCTTGAACTGGAAATAATTGATTTAAAACAAAAATTAAATGTGGTTTGAAGCATTTGGGGTCTTATAATTTGGTAGAGATTATTTTATATTTACACAGAAGTCAATATATATATTTATATTTACACAGATGTAAATACATATATTTACACAGAAGTAAATATATATATTTATGTTTACACAGAAGTAATATGTATATATTTCTATTTACACGGAAGTAAATATATATATTTATATTTATACAGAAGTAAACATATGTATTTACACAGAAGTAAATATATATATTTATATTTACACAGAAGTAATATATATATTTGTACAGGAGTAAATATTTACACAGAAGTAAAGATATATATTTATATTTACACAGAAATAAATATGTATTTATATTTACACAGAAGTAAATATGTATTTATATTTACACAGAAGTAAATATATATAATATATATATTTACTTATATCTATAAATATATATTTATATTTACACTGAAGTAAATATATATTTATATTTACACTGAAGTAAATATATATATTTACATTTACATAGAAGTAAATATATATATTTACACAGAAGTAAATATATATCTATTTGTATTTACACAGAAGTAAATATATAATATATATATAAATATATATTTATATTTGCAGAGAAGTAAATATATCTATTTATATTTACACAGAAGTAAGTATATATATTTGCATTTACACAGAAGTAAATATATTTATTTTTACACAGAAGTAAATATATATGTTTATATTTATACATAAGTAAATATATATTTATATTTACACTGAAGTAAATATATATATTCCTATTTACACGGAAGTAAATATATATTTACATGGAAGTGAATATATATATTTATATTTACACAGAAGTAAATATATGTATTTATATTTACACAGAAGTAAATTTATCTATTTCTATTTCCACAGAAGTAAATATTTACATTTACACAGTGCTGGATAAAAAAACCTTCTACTGCCTTAGGTTATTATACTTTAAATAATTTTTATATTAAACACCCAAATAGCACCATTTATTCTCTACTTTTAAAAATAAATTACTTCTGAAAGTGCCTCTTTTGATGTAAAATTGCATCATTTTTAAATTTAAAATCCTTTTATGTTATTTTCTCAAAAGCATTGGTATTTCCCACCTAAAAAAGTTGAATTTTCCAAGAAACACCCTCTCTGTGGGAGGTGGGATTTGTGTTTTCCAGCAGATAATAATGGAGACAACCCCTATCCAGAATTTAATTTAAATTTTAAATTTTCAGGGCTTTAACCAACACTGAAACCACTTTAAGGCTTTTTCTTTTCTTGGAACAACAAAATATAAAAACAGCAATAAAATATTTCTACAACTTGATGTTACAGCTGGCCATAATTCAAATTTTAATATAATTATTGGTGGAGGATTTTTCTTATGAAAGAAAGCTTTAAACCACTTTAAAGCTTTTTCTTTGCTTAGAACAACAAAATATAAAAATTAAAATATTTTTACAATTTGATGTTACAAATGGCTATAATTCAAATTTTAATGTAATTATTGATGGAAGATTTTTCGTATCAAAGAAAGCTTTAAAACCACTTTAAGGCTTTTTCTTTGCTTGGAGCAACAAAATATTAAAATTAAAA